AGAGAAGTGAAGGAAGATGGAAGAACTGGGTCTGAAGATAAATAGCATCTATTTTTTTCTTAAAGAAACTGCACTGCTGTCATTTAAACCTAATTTTAGTGAGTAAACACAAATTCTGTTAAAATTACTATAGTTGGTTTAGCCAGTTCTTGCTGGTACAATACATGATTATAGTATCTCAGCATGCACTCATACTTCGGAAGTAGAGAGTTATTGTTAAACCCTGTTAACCAGCTGGTGAACAGTGAAATAGTAAGTCAAAACACAAATCTGACAGAAGTGTTTTGAGGGCAGGCTTTGTTTCAGCTTCAAGTAAATCCATCTTTTTCATCGTTGGACTGAGATTAGAGATTTTTCTAATAAATGCCTGAATTTAAATTAGTGAAATTGCCTATTGAGAGGGAGGATTTGTAATGTGTAATTTTTTTTTCCACTTTTTTAGGAGATATATCAAGTCTTGATGTTAGTGCTCAGTACTGATAAATCTGTTATGAGATTTAGAAGATTAAATGGTTGATAGTTGATAAATTTTTTTAATGTTACATCCAAAACTATTTGAAGCTTGCTGTTAAGATTCACTTGAAAGCTAACAAAAGTGTGGTCTTCCATAATGTTGCATAGTATAGCCCTGTAAACCACTGTTAACAGGGATGATGCTGCTTCATTCCATTATAAAATGCATGGGGTTTGGTGTGTTGTGTGTGTTTGTTTGTTTTTTCCTAGGCACAGTAGTCATTGTAACATAGCTGGTTACAATGGAACATTTTTATTGTGGAAAACACTGCCTTTCAGTGAAAGCTTAAAATTAAGTAAAAGATGAGGAAGCCAAACCTCTTTGTACTTAATGTTTGTGGGATTTCTGTTTGGTTTGTTTGGGTTCTGGGTTTGTTTGATTTCTGTTTTGTTTTGTTTTTTAATTCTTTCATGCTCCCCTCCTGAATGCATTATAAATTAGTGGAATAAGGGGCATAGTAATACAACTGAATCTACAAAGTGACCTGAATGCTTCTAATAATTAAAAACCAAATTTGCATTTTCTCCATTGCAGGTTTCATAATAGCCCTTGTGCCTTTTTGTAGTACACAGTAATCTCTAATACGAATTCAAGTAGGCCCAAAAGGCAAGCAGACTATCTGTTCATCATCTGGTCTTTTTTGCAGTTGCTTATTAAAACGGTACTTACCCAAATCCAATTTCTCTTGCTTACCTTTGAACATGTTTTAAATGCACATCTGATTTTAATAACATCTGGAAAATATGAAGGATTTGAAATCCTCTCAAATACAGGATTCTCAACAATGGGGCCACAGAATGCTTTGCATGCACAAATGTGCCCTTTCTGTATTGCATACACGTGCACAAGGGCAAAGAACTGTTTTTAAAGATGATGCCTTGTATGTATATTTTTGGCTGCCTTATTTCATAGATGAGAATGAGTGAGTTTCTTTTACTTCTTTTACTCTAGTAGTTACATAAGCACATATGTATAGAGATAACTTTCTCCCCAAAGCTATCTGTTGCTTGAGTGAAAATTGAGGGACAGGGGATGCTTAGAAAATATTATAATAATTTGTGGCTGAAATTGCAGGGCCTGTAATGAGACATTGTTTTAATCTGATACTTTTTCACTGCTATTTCTTAATCTCATGTCCACCCTCACTATAGTAAGAGTGCATTTTGTGTGGCACAGAATAGATAAATACTTATTTCCCCCCCCTTAGGTTTTCAGCACAAAAATAAGCTTATATTTGTTTGTGCTTCCTTTTACATACTTGTAAATATTTTCAAAACTGTCCCTGTGATGTTTTTCTTTCAAATTCCATTTTTCTATTTTAAAAAATAATTTCTACTGAAATATCTTTTCATTTTAGTGACACTAATGCTGATTTTTAGTAACAAGGGAAGAATTTCCTTATTGTTAAGTAGAGTTTTTTGATTTGTAGAGCTTCTAAAATAATTGTGGATCAACTGACTGGAAATGAGTCTAGTGAAATAAAACTGAAAATAGTTTAATTTGCTCTATGACCATTAGTTATGTCTCAACATAGTCCATTTGTTATTGGATTAAGAAGATAGATTGAGTCTAAAAAGGGAAATGTTGATCTGTGAAGGCTAGTCAGGCACCTTTCTTCCAGAGATGACTGTTTGTTTATTCAAATATATGTAGGTACACTAGCCTACAAAATACCTATGAAACCGGTTGTATCTGATTTTGTTTCATTTATGAGATATATCTATATCTATATCTATATCTATATCTATATCTATATCTATATATATATATATAAAAACCAACTGTCTCCGAGATGAGGGGAAAGGACCGTAACCATGAGAAATGTTTCTTTAAGATACAGGACAGAAACCACAGGAATTGGTTCTCTTTGTTATTACTGGAAGACCTTTTTGGAGACCTCTAATCAGATCCTGAAACCTATGAATCAGTATAAGGAACAAGGTGGTGATTTTTTAAAAAAATTATATTTTTAGTGCCACTATTTGTTTTAGAATCACAGAGCAGCCTGGGTTGGATGGGACCTTTTGAGGACCGTATAGTCCAATATTTCATGGGAAAAGGAACGTAGATGAGATTATCTAACATCCCATACAGTTGTGACTTGCAAACCTCCAGTGGTGAGGACTCTGCCATGTCCCTGGGGAGGTTGTTCCAGTCATTGATTCTTCTTGCTGTAAAAAAATTCTCTTATGTTGAGACAAAGCCTCTCCTGGTGCAACTTTTACCCATTGTCCCTTGTCCTTTCTGTGTAACTTCTTGTAAAGAGAGAGCCTCCATCCTCTTTGTAGCTACCCTTTAAGTACTGTGAGGAGGTCCTTCCTGAATCTTCTCCAGGGAGAAAAGACCTAACTCCTTCAGTCTTCCCCCACAGGGCAGGTTTTCCAGCCCTTTGATTTCATGGCCTTCATTTGGACCCTTTCCAGTCTGTCCACATCTTTTTTTCAGCTGTGGGGACCAGAGCTGGACACAGTACTCCAGGTGCAGCCAGACAAGACTGGGTAGAGTGGTATGATCACATCTGTATCTCTGCTAGTAATACTCCTGCAGATGCAGCCCAGGATCCAACTTGCCTTCATTGCTGCAGCAGCGCACTGCTGACTCATGTTCAGCTTGTTGTCCGCCCGGACTCCCAGGTCCCTTTCAGCAAGGCAGCTCCCCAGTCACACAGATCCTAGCCTGTACTGGGCTCTTTGGATATTCTGTCTCAGGTGTGGGCCCTTGCATTTGTCTTTGTTTATCTTTACAATGTTCTTGCTACCCCACTCTTCCAGGCTACCAGGGACTCTGTGCAAGATGGCTCTCCCTTATGACATGTTTACCTCATTACCTTTAGTGTCATCAGCAAATGGGGTGAGGGTGCTTTCAATTCCATCATACAGGTGATTTATGAAGTTGTGGAACAGTGTGGGGCCTGGTATCAAACCCTGGGGGACCCCACTTGTGACAGACTCCCCGCCCATTTTATTTAGCAGCTACTTAGATCAGTTGAAAAACTTTAAGCAATTCTCTTTCAGTTATTTGAAAGATTATAAAGATGTAACCGTGAAGCTGAATCTCCAGTTTACGTCTTATGTTTTTCTGTAAGAATATTTTGTTTGTGCCCTTAATACTTCAGCCTGATTTACTTTGTAAGTAGCTGATCAAAATGTAGTACTGATAAAGCATGTCCTGACCATTTTTTAAACTGTGATACCAAGTTATTTTTAAATCATAAAGATTTGGTCAGGTCTTTTTTCTAACAAGTGTCTTGGATATGTAGAGATCACTTCAACTCAGAAAAGGGAGGTAAATCGCAGTTAATCAGTAAAGGAAGTGGCATTGCTGGCATTCTGCAAGCCAAATGAACAGAGTTACAAAACCTAATTCAGCAAAGAAAGGGCTGTCTGTGAGAGTGAAGGCACAAGATAAATAATCCCTAAAAGATATTCTAGAAGATATGCCTTTGTATTTAACAACAACAATTGGAAATCCAATTTACAGCACAAAAGCAGTTTCTTCTGTTAGAATTAGCAGGAAATTAAGGCGGCAACACAGAGCTAAATTGGAGAACAATTGCTAGAAATATAGATAAAAATGGTAATATAACATTCATTTTGCACTATTATTCAAGCAGGCTGATTTGTGTGAAGTTTATACAGCAAGAGATAGTGGATTTTTCTTACTTGTTTTGGTAGGGGGGGTGTGGTAAAATTTAGTGATATGTATTATTTTTTTAAAAAATCCAGGTCAATTCTTCACTGGAGAATTACATCATCTGTGCAGTTTGTTCACTATAGCATCTCTGTTTATTCATGCCGAAAAACTATCCATGCTTGTAGTTTGGCTTAAAAGATAAGATTACAGTGTGCCACTGATAGAGTATGCTAAATAAATTTATCCTGATGTGTAATATAATTATGGATGGGAACATTATTTGCAAATATGATATGAATTAGTACAGCTTTTCTTTGCTAGCTAATCACAATTGTTATTTCTCTAACATACTGAATAAAATGACCACTCTAGGAGAGCTGAGAAATGATATGTCAGCTTGAATATACTGGTTGTTTAAGTGAATAGGCTAAAATTCTTTTTAATGTAGAAGTTTTAATGAGCTAGTGGCTTTCATTTCTTTTAAATCTCCACATATTTACTGGGACTAGAATTATTTGAGGTAAGTGATTAATTATATGGGGTTGCTAGGGAAAAAGTGAAAAGCCTTTTTCAGTGCAAAATGTAATTAGTGCTGTAAAATGGAAGGGAAAAATAGAGTGCTGAAATATCAATTATAGAACACTCATGGTTTCAGTAAATAGAAACCAGCGCAATGATGAAATTCTACCACCTTTTCCACATATGTGAGAAAGATGCTTGCTACCTGCTTTTTCCCAGATATTCTCAACTGCACAAAGAAACTGATGAATTGCTGCTGAGATTTGTTACTCTTAATCTTACTGAAATTGATAAATACTTCATAAAGTCTTAGTGTGTGACTGTTTGCTTATAGGACACTGCTCTGCAGAAACCAAGGGAAGTTTTCCGGCTACCTACAGACTTGACAGCTTATGATAATCGCCTTTGTGCCTCCGTACACTTCTCATCTTCCACATGGGTTACCCTTTCTGATGGTACAGGAAGGCTGTATTTGATTAAATCAGGCAAGCGTGGAAACAGTGCATCTGAAAAGTGGGAGGTAGGTCTTGCAATAACATTTAAGAATTGTACATCTACCAAATAATTCTTATTCTTGCATTTCTAATGAGAATTGTATGTATGTAGTGTGAAGAATCAAGCTTTAAATCATAACTCTATCACTGATACTGGATTGTGTTAAAGTATAAAAATAATTGATTTTTATGACAATTATTTCTTTTTGCACAAAATAACGAAAATTCAAGTGTTTGAAAGGGAACAGCCTTTTGGTCGAATAATAATATGTCTTACTGAGTGTTTCTGAATAGGTGGCTAAGTGCTTGTCTAGCTGAACTTTTTCTGAAAACCATTTCCCTTTTCCCTTCCCTATTCATATGTGTCTGTCTAGGATTCCCCCCCAGTCTTTCATGGTTTGCTGTTTCAAATGTCCTGTGGAATAATACATATTTTCTTTAAAAATGTGAAACTATTGTTAATCATGCTAAAGCTACTTTCATATTTAAGTTAGTGTGATGTTTGTCTGTGCAGATGTAATTGTGCTTGAAATATTCACCATTTAATTTGCCCCCTCTTAAAAATAAAACCACAGAAATTAGAATAAAACTTAAACAAAATTTCTGATTAAAAAGCTTTGATAAGTAACACAGAGGGTTACCTGCAGAGCAGGTATAATATAAGTAATACTATTTCCACTTCCACTCCAGTAGCAAAAATTTTCATACTGTGCACTTAGATCTGGAAAATTATTGGTGCTTAATATTTTTGCTTAAAATTGATGGTTGTAACTGAAGTATGTTTTTATGGTTTTTGTTATTAAATTCTTTTCATAATTAATTCTTTTAAAGAGTCTTGATAAGGAACATTTTTTCTATCCACATCAAAGTGATCTTACTACACTAACAATGGTATTGATCATCCTATTTGAACACAACAGATACAATTAGGTTACATTTCTACCTGAGCTACTGTGAGTCTTGTGGTCTGTGGTTAGTTCCTCTTTATTCATGAAAGACGAATGTGGTATAAAGTACCCACATTCTGCATCTGTTTTCTTTATTAGAGGGCAGTTTCCTAAGCAATTCAGGAGGTTTTAGCACTGGCAGGAACTCAGGTGTATGTTCTGAAGTATAAGATTTCAACATCATGAATTAGCTCCTTCTCCTACATCTTTTGAGAGTTCAGTAACTAGGAAATAGGTCATCCTGTTCTTTAGATGGTTGGTAATAAATGCTGTTTAGATTAATTTTGACATTTTTGCTGAATTAGTACTTTTTTGAGAAAAGCTGAAATACATAGTTTCTCGAATAAAATCCTCCAGCTGTAGGTACCAAATGCTAAACATCTCAAGTTACAAGATGTGCAGTCCTTTGTATGAAATTATTTCATGTTTCCAGTGGTGCTTATTAGCCTTTCAATATGACAGTAATATTTACAAACTCTGCCTACCTAGTCCCGTCCAAATATCAAATGGACTTTTCCAAACAATATACATAAAAATTCAAAAACCTCTAACCCTAGCTCTTCCTAAACATGAATATTATACTCCTTCATTTAATTACATGTTTTTGTTTCTTACTCCCCTTCATAAAACTTTATAAAGAAGGAAAAATTGAATCTGTTTGTAAAGATAGTGACCAAATAACCCCCAGCCTCTCAGTACTGGCTGATGATTAAACACTGTCAGCAATACACTGGACCTTTTCATCTTCTTGTTTACACATGTTAAGGTCTAAAAAGATTTTCAGGATGGTAGAGTGTCTATAGAAATAGTGAGGGCCTTAGTGAAATGCCTGCATTTTCATCCTGAGTGTGAGACATTGCCCCGAGTTGATATGCTGTGTTTGTGGATCCTGTTCTGTTCATCAGTTGTTGCACCTCTACTTACTGTAAAAGTCAACAACCATAATGCAGAGTTTTGTGGATCTTTGTGCTTTGTTTAATGGGCCCTTAGAATTATTTTATAACATAAACAATAATAAAAAACATTTCAGAACAGTGGCTTGATAGACAAGGAAGGAGGAAACAGAAATGTATGACATTTGTGGATTTGTATTGGCAGAGGTTTGTGGGAAGCAAACTTTAACTCATTTGACATTCACTGAAGCCTTTCACTGCTGAGAGAGAGCAAGATTTCCAGTTTTAGCTGATTTGTACTACAATTTTGTCTTCTAGATTGTGTTTAATGAAGAACTAGGAAGTCCATTTATTATATCACACAGTGTTTCATTTGTAAAATCTGATATGCATTCAGTAGCTGTGCTACTGCTTAGGGTAGATAAAGATGAATTGGACACAAAAGGAAGTGGATTTCATATTACCTTGGAATGGGTTACAGTTGCAGAGATAAGCAAAGAGGGTAAGTGTTTTACATTTATATTACTGCTGAGTAATTAAAAAAAAATATTAAAAAATAATGTTTTTATTCTTTGTCTTAGAAATTGATTGTTCCTCATGTTCTGATATTTCCTTTCCCCAAAACTTCAGGTTGGATTTTACATACATAATTTTTTCTTACATTTTGAGATCAAGTTATTTGTTTAGACCTATATTCTGGCAAACGTCTGGAAGACACTAAAAAGTAAAGTTTTATACATGTGTGGTTAAGATAATTAGAAAACAAAATAGAACTTTGTGACATTATGAAATGCAATTCCCATTTAAAATGTAAAATGTAAAATTTTGTAAAATCAAGGTCATACAGAACTATTTCTAACTAGTATCTGTTGTACTTTTCAAAATGCTGTACAGCTGGATATGGGGTTTTGTTTGGTTATGTTTTGGGGGTTTTGTGTTTTTTTAGACTCCAATTAATAGTCTCAGGGAATTGGAATTAGTATGAGATAAATTTAAGAACTGTAGCATAAAAAGTAAACAGTGTATTATACCTACTAATTAATGTACTCTTCTAATAAAGTTTGGCAAAGGGTAATTTATCTGTTCAATATGATCATATATACTTTCATTAAATACAGTTATTTCCATAAAGGATACAAGACCATATGCTTCAGCATCTGATTTAAAGATGTGTGGATTAAATTAATTTATCTTTTTGGGAAGACTGTTATACAGTCTTGTTCATTATATTCCAAAAAGTATAGTTTTGATACTGATAGAAACAAGTTCTTTAACTGCTTGAACCAAAGCAGTTGACTGCATACTGTGGTGTTACTATCCAAGTGTTCCTCAGTCTCCTACATACATAGTATGGATAGGAGAACAGAATAGAATAGACTTCAGTTGGAAGGGACCTACAATGATCATCTAGTCCAACTGCCTGACCAGTTCAGGGCTGGCCAAAAGTTAAAGCATGTTGTTAAGTGCATTGACCAAATGCCTCTTAAACACTGACAGGCTTGGGGCATCAACCACCGCTCTAGGGAGCCTGTTCCAGTGTTTGACCACCCTCTTGGTAAAGAAAAGCTTCCTAATGTCCAGTCTGAACCTCCCCTGGTGCAGCTTTGAACCATTCCAGTGCATTCTGTCACTGGATACCAGGGAGAAGAGATCAGCACCTCCTTCTCCACTTCCCCTCCTCAGAAGGCTGTAGAGATCAGTGAGGTCACCCTTCAGCCTCCTTTTCTCCAAAGGAGACAAGCCCAAATTCCTCAGCTGCTCCTCATAGGACATTCTTTCCAGCTCTGTCACCAGCTTTGTCACCCTAACTGACTTTATTCATGTTGTCTGCTGTTGAAACCTTGGGTGATGGAAATATTTCTAAGAGAGCCAGAAGGGCATGGGAGATTGTCTTACGCTTTTGTGGCCAGCTCAACAAGAGAAAGAAACCTCTGAATATTACTGGTTATATCATGTAAGAAAAATTAAATCAGTAATACTGCCAGTCTAGAACTGAAGAATATTTCTTAGAGAGCACTATCACAGTTTTTTATTATATTTTTAATACTGTATGTTTTAATAAACAAATCCTTTTTTACAGTGCATTTTTTATTACTTACAACAAATGTTCATGGATATAAACTTTTTCCATAAAAGTGGATTTAGAAATCTTTCCAAAAATCTTGCCAGTTCTCCAGCATTTCCAAGGAACAGGCAAAATTTTTGTAATTGCAGTAATCAGAGATGTAAATAACAAGATTCAAAGCAAACTTTGATTATGAAGAGAGAAATAAGTTTTCATTTCTTCATTTCTTTTAAATAAGCATCTCACAAATCAGAGCAATGTATAAACCAGTCTTGGAAGGTAAAAGCTGTTTTGAGGAACTGCAATACTTTACATCCTCATTGCCCAGTAGGCAATTGCTATGCTTAACTTTTCTTGAAACTCTGTGGGTGGAGTTTATCAAATCAGATTGTAAAAAAAAAAAAAGTAGTTGATCAACAAACCATTTCCCAAATTACCAAATCTATACTTCATCAAAGTGAAGCCTTAAAACATAGTTATGTGTCTTGACACCAACAACTGTGAGTCTCTGTCACATCTGGCTGTCTAGACAAAGTGATCACACCTACCACTATTGTATTACCAAAGAACAAAAAATGGAAGCGTGAAAATAAATATGAATGGAAGCAGTGGTTAGCTCTGTTCCCATCTTGTGTGGTACTTCAGAGGGTTGTGACAAAGGTGTACCCTTTGAAAGGTAGTTGTTTTCTTTAGTTAACTAAAGTTTTAGGAATCCGTACTATAAAAGCTTGATACAAAGAACCACTATGCTACTGTATTAGACTCAGAAAATGTTACATGCTTAGCTTTCTTGTGACCTTCTTTACAAGAAAAATCATGTAGTGTAAAGTGACTGAAAAGATCACGAAGACTCAAATGTAAAAGTGTTGAGGATTGATTGAAAATAGGTTTGGTCACAATGACATGTTATGGAGATTTTTAACAAGTGAGCAAATGCTTGTAAGAGAGACATGCAAACAAATTTGATATGTTTCAGTGCACAGTTAAATTCCATCAGTTAAATAACAGCTTGTTCAATGAGTGGCTAACTTCCCACTGACGTGTTCTTTTTGTCATGTATCTAAGATGAGCTAATTTGTTAATCTTTTAAAGCAGGTTATCCTTTTACTTGGAGTCTTCTCATTGTATAGATCTCTTACTCTGTCTCTAATTAGAATGGTTGAATCTCTTCAATTAATACCACCCCCCTGCCCTGACCAAACTTTTTAGGAAAAAGGCGGGGGGGAGGGGGGCTTTAACACCACTAAGTACCCAAATTATATTGTAGTCTGCTTATTACTCTGTACTCCACTTCTTGCTTAGCAAGCAGGAAAACCAATTGAGGACTTAAATTATACCTGGCTTGCCCATTATTACCTGTTTTCTCCTCCAGTTTAGATGTTTCTTTAAGCTTCACATTGAGGTCAAAACAGGAACACATTTTGGAGTACTAGAGTGGCATACATGGTTTTTGCCATCATAATCTCATCTTGTCTAATGTCTCTGCTAATGAGTTCCCAGTTTCTTTCAAGTGCAGCTGTAGTTGCAAGTAAAGTGATTTCTTTTAATGAAGAGATGAAGCATAAATGTGAAAAACTAAACAATTCTTGGTTATAATTTTATCACCTGTGAGAATTTTATCAAGTTGGGGTTTTTTTGCTACAAATCCATTTGTACCATCTGTTATTATTCAGAAGTTGATCAGTTATTGAGGACTCTGTGGGTAGTAAGATTCTAATGGAGAACAAATGTTGTGCTAGAACCTGTCAGTTTACTGGTATTTTGAGTAGTCATGTTTGGGAGCACAGTATGGAATGGCATGTACTTCGATGCCAGTAGCTAACATCTGGGACCTCTCTTTTACGTGGCAGTGTTTTACAAAAGTTGAGGAAGAAAAGCATTTTCCATTATAAATAAAGTGTTAGCACTAGCTATTTCATCACTTCTCAAGTTTTTACAGAAGCTCCGAAAGTATTTGGAAAGCTTGTTTGTACAGAGGCTGTGAGTGCTTTTGTGAATTGCTGGGCTACCTGTGATGAAAAAAGCCATCATGAGAGAAAAGGGCAATGTTAGATTAATTTTAGGGTCTACATATTTAACAAACTCGTTGGAAAACAGAAGAGAAATTTCTTTTTAAACTATGGTACTATGATTTAATGGTAGGATTGCTTAGTATTTTAAAGTGTAATGAGATTTTTTTATAATGACTTGTCTTCTCAAAAAATATTGCCACTAAGAGTGTAATTTTTTTAATTTTATAGGTGATCACAGATATGAAATCGTGAAAAGGAGAGTTTTACAAGGAAAATCAGTCCCCCATTATGCAGCAATAGAGCCGAGTGGGGATGGTTTAATGATTGTTTCCTACAAACCGTTCAAGTTTATGCAAGATCAAGATGACAAATTAGAAGAAAATGACAGTGCAAAAGCAGAAAATGAGAAGAAAGGTAAGACTTACCTGACAATATGATAGGCTGCTCTCTCTTTTGGCTTAGAAAATAGCTTGTCAGTTTAGCATCTGTTTGGAAACTCTAGCAATAAATGTCTTCATATCTACATTACAGATTTTTATGTTTTTTTAAGGACAGATTGGCTTTTGTGTTGTTTGTTTTCACCCTGGGAAGTTGTATTGTCCATAAACTTAAATGAGAAGCTTTTTTGGATAGATCATTAAACAATTTTGTTGTCCTAAGAAAAAGGGTATTTTACAAACAGAACTATACTAATTTTTTGCCAGCAGTTGGATTGCTAAGGTAACACCTAAATTTAAGCATCTGGCTGACTTACTCAAATTAAGAAACCAGACTTCTAGATGAGAGAGTTCAGTGTGGCACCCACTGACTCCCCCAATTAGTTGTTCATCAGAAAGCTCTCTGATGTGTAATTTACTCCTGCCTTTCTAAATTAAAAAAAATCCAGCAAACAACTTTTTCTTTTTAAAGAATGAGAATCCTGTAAAAGACTATCTCCAGTGAAAAAACAGTTCAGAAAAAAACCCTTCAGCAGAAGGCATCCAACTTTTTTTTTTTTTTCTTTGGGATCAATACAAAATTAAGTATGGAAAAACCTATTAATAAAGTTGTTTTATCTTAAACATCACTGAGCTCTTACTGTCTATGTTTATATAGTTATACTGTGTTATTTCAGATCTCATCTTTTGCTTCTAAGTATGAGGCATTGGTTAATCAACCAAACCTAACTGCGTGATACTTGCACAGTCTCTGTGAACGGTGCAAAAATCTGTTCGGGAAACAATGCAAAAAGATCAATTTTCTGGAATGTATTAATGTTACACACTGTGATAACTGTGATGTACATATAATTGTGTTAAGAACAGTCTGTATGTATCAATTTTGAGGCAAAGGAGTTCTTCAGTGCACTGAACACCACAATGCAACGTCTGTGCTGTTGTCACCTGAATTAACAAGTTCAGTGCTTTAAGGATTTTAATTGCTGCTTGAGTTGTATGCTAGGAGTGATTAAAGAAGCACAGTAAATAAAGACTATATGACACTTAGCGTAGCTCATTTCATGCATGTATGTGCACTTACGATGTTGCCAAAACCCAGAAATCTGTGTTGGGTGGAGTACTGTTTGCAGCAATACCTTTAGAAAACTTCTCATGGCATAAAAATCTAATGGTAGATAAAGTACTGAAATCTGAACTCCTAGTTTAGAGGGAACTCTAATATCTCTTTAAGAGAGAATTTATTTTCCTAAACCTAATGTAAGCTGCAGTTTTGATTGCATGGTTATATAAAATTGTAGGCATAATATATACCAGATAATGAAACAAGATGTGCTAGCAATAGAACTCTATTTCTGATAGAAGCTTACAGCAATAGATAAAGATATACTAAGGCAGTTATGTTGCACATTGGTATTTTGGTTTTTAATGTGTTCTTTCATAGTCTCCTCTGCACATTTTTGACATGAGAAGGCTGTCTTGAAGATGGGGGAGAAGGGAAGTCTAAACTACTTTTTTGGTGTCACTCATTTTACTTATAAATTAAGATTTTTAATATTAGATACCATCTGTGTTGAAGTTCAGAATTTTGAATGCTGTCGTGTCTCAGATGCTAACAGTTTCTGGGAAGTGTATTTGTAGCACCTGTGACTGATCCATTGCAAACAGGAAACTCATGGTAATGGGCAACACTGTAAGAGTCCTTCCAGAGTCATGGTTGCTGATACAAACCTTAGATCAAGGAAATCTTGTATTGTACTGTGACAACTTGAGGGCTTCCAAAGGGTCTATCTGTACTTTTTCCTCTAAATAGGAAGGTAACATGTACAAGATTGCTCTTTAGAAAGTGAATGGGTCTGTGTGTTTTCCATGACCAGCTGTGTACTACCCAGTTATGCTGTCATAGACTTCCTTTTGTATAAATATTTCTCTTAAAAGGCTACTTCTTATAGCAGTTTAATAATCAAGATAGATATCAGGCAGATCCTAGAACCAAGGGCAAAAGTCAATCATTACCTCTGGGCAGGAAGTTTTGTTTCATCTCCATCAGCTGAGGCAGATGAAGACTACTTGGTCTTCTAAATTAAATTCTGTTGAATAGTCAGTCAAAAAATGTTCACATCTGTGAATGGCATATACTTCTGAGCATGCAGTCACTTGTTAGTACCACTTCACCTGATGTCTCTTCAACTAAATTATTAATCATTAATGTTTCAGTGTGTTTAAGTACATTTTGGTTATCAATTTTGTAATACTACAATAAACTTAGAGTAATAGTTAATGCCCATTGTATAACTCTATCAGCATACTTGAGTATAGACATGAATATAAACCTGCTCCCTAGATGACAGACACAAATGAAACTTATTGATAACAAAATGTTTCTCCATTTTATAATCAGAATATATTTTATGTATATTGTTCAGGGTAAAAGTTAATTTTCACTTTTCCACAAACTTCCTATTCCCTGTCTCCCAACATTGCATGCTATGGAATACAGGACAGCATTTGTAATGTAGTTTATATTTTTCTGCATGTTTCCAATTGTAGACCCTCTCTATTACTGGCAGCAGACTGAAGATGATGTGACAATAACAGTTCACATTCCTCAAGATATCACTAAGGATGACATAAAAGTACTCTTTTCCCCTGATAACATATGTGTTATACTGAAAGACCAACCTCCTCTGATGGAAGGAAAACTCTATTCATCTGTGGACCATGAAAGCTGCACATGGATAATTAAAGAGAACAAAAGGTGGTGTATGCCGTTTTTTGTTTTTCTGTTGATAAAAACTGATTTCAAAGTTTCAAAGTTCATAGTATACCCTATCTGACTTCTGGCCCCTGTGGGAATGGACTCATTTAGTGCTACACTCTGCATCTCTTCCTACAAGAATTTATCTCCTCTGCTGAAAACAGTTCACTGGCTTTTGCAATGCTGTCTCACAATACCATTTCTTTAGCTAATTGTGAAAGTAATTCCTTTTTCTTACAGTTACTTGCTTGTAAACTGTGTGTCCAGCTATTTTCTACAACATAGAACAGCCTTTCCAAAATAATAAATTGTTTTATTTCAGAAAAAAAGGCATTATGTCTAACTGTCTGTACTGACAGCTAAATCTGTATCAGACTAGGAAATTAAGAGTTTCTACTAGTGAGCTGTGAAGCAGTTCTTTGCAGGATTAGGGATACGTTGATGCTTATAATGCTTAACCTCCTTACAGTATTTTCACATGTTTTGGCTGTGTTTATTGGCAGCCAGAGTTAATGTCCTGTCTGTATGGCTACCTGGTTTTATTATTCTCAAAGTGAATAATCTTGTCCATTCAATTCTAGGTGATCACAGTGGAAAAGTGAATAGATAAACTGTTAAATGATTTTCATAAAGATAGTGTATCATATAGTTATGAAATTTTGGTAATAAATACAGTAAGTAAATTCAGTAATATTTTGTAATACTGAAGAAAAACGTCATTTTTTCCAAATAGCCAGAAAACCCCCCAGATATCAAAATGTTAAACATAGCTTTGTAAGCAGAGTAAACTTAATTGGTTTAACATTTTTTTTCCCACTAAATTTTAGGATTGATTAGTCTGAATTTACCCTGCTGTGTTAATAATTTCTCTTCTACTTCAACTTTCCACAGACAGAAGCTTTTTTTGGTAATAATGTAACATAAATTCTTCTGGTTTGACTTATAAATTTCTTACTCTGTTTTCCAAATCCATTGTACATATGTACGTGATATAAAATTAATCTGTGTGAACTCAACATGCTGTAGACCTCAAATAGAAATGTGCATGGTTTTGAGACGTAAACTTTAATTGTCTCTTTCTCTCTGAAATAAAACATGAAAAAACAGAGTGGGGGGGAAAAAGAATACAGAGGTCCCTAAACCATAGCCCAAGTTACTTATTTTGTAATTTCAAAGCCTGTTAGTTCTAGAATTTTATTTCTCTGGTAGAGAATTGCAACCTAACTTTAGACACCTAATTTTGCTTTCTACTTAGGCTCTAGATTGTTAGTAGAGCCTCCAGAGGGCTTTTCAGGGCCTTAAACTGATTTCATGAAGTGTTCGACCATTGTTTTAGTTGCATCAGTACAAAAGCTTCGTATGTGGAAGGTGATGTAAGTATTCAGATTTACTTCCACATGTAAAATGGAGTATGAAATCCCTGTATGTTTGGAAATGTACCTTTCCACGTTTTCTGTTTGAGACTTGAAGATAAAAGCTTGTGTTATATATAAGTCACTTTCTTTATTGCAGTTAACAGGTGCAGTGAACACTTACAGGTACCATTCTTCCCTACCTTGTGGTTCAGGAACTGAGAGTGCTGTTGGATGCTTAAACACTGCTAAACATACTGATCCTTCCACTTACAAGAGGGATTGAAAGTCTTTGCTCTTCTTTTGCAGTTTTACTTCCCCTTGTGCTACCTGGTCAGAACAGCTAGAACTGAAGCACCGTCTGAATGGTTCAAAGTAAAACTTGAGGCGTGATGAATGAAATAGAGTATGTGCATTACAAAAAATAAGTAGCTGATCCACACTTTAATGATCTTGTTCTTATTTGTACCTTAAGCCCATAATACCTGTCAAAGTACCTTGGAATTTTTTTACCTTCTCTTGTCAGTTGCACTGGTGCATTTCTGTTTGTCTGCTTGAGGGAGGTGGGCTTGAAGGTCTGGAATTGACTAAACGTTTTCTGCTCTAAGAGCTTTGTGATAGTACTTCTGAACTTTTCAAAGTTTCATATGTTTTACAGTCTGTAACCCAGCACATTTTTTATTTAATCTAGGGGTGTGTTTCATTGTATAGAAGTCTCATGTTAGTCTCTTTAATGTTCAAGTAGGGATTTGTGCATAAGTCTACAGCTATTAGATATTGATATGTATAGACTTAGTACAAGATAGAGTTGTCCATGTTCTTCAAGTATTCTCTTTGTAATATCTGTGAATTTAGGCATCCATACATTTCTGCACTACAGGTGAAGTATTCTAACCAATTCTGGCCATCTATACATTTGGTAGTTACTGTGGCCTTAGTTAATATCACAGCTATTATAATTAATACGTAATCACAAAAGCAGTTCAGAGTAGTAGGAATGTCCATACTTAAATAAGAACTTTTTCTTTAAGCTTGTTAGAGGCCATATTACAGAAGTGGACTACAGGATGAAAAGTTAATCTTTTTTTATCTGGCTACTTCTGGTACTCCTTTTAAGGTATAGAAGCTATTTGGATATAGAAGGCATCCGTGCTGGTTTGTTCACTTCAACCAAAAGACTGAGCTGCCACTGTAGTGTGTTGACCTGTCAGAGTTCAATACTCTCCGACCAAGTTTTTTTAAATATTCCACACATGGAGAGTGTAATGATCGAATTTTTTTGAGGAGAGTTGATGCCACACAGAGTTTCTGATTTAGCAGGGTGATACAAAATACACTGAAAACTTGATACAAATTGAAGTTACAGTTAGCAAAATATAGCAATTGCAATACGTGGTTTAGTCACCATACCAATGTGATTTCCATTACCAGCCTCTGTAATATGCTCACCTTCTCAACACTGGGCATCCCTAATTGTCTGAAAGGAGCAAGTGGCTCGAAGTCAGCTCCAGCCCATTGCTCTCTTCCAAATTATTTGGTTTTCTAATTTTTATACTGTGCCTGGGCTGAGCTGTGTATTCACTCCCCCCCCTTGCTGGTCTGGCTAACTCAAGGAGATATTCATACTCCTTTCATGAACTCAAGAAGCATTTACATCACTGGTTGATCCACTCAGCTGTTGATAGCCACCCTTTGTGTTGAGATAAGGTCAGCTTCTTTGCATTGTTTCCTGAGGGTCATGGGCACATCCCCTTGCCAGTCTCCACCAGGAATCTTCCATTTTAGTGGTTTGTTCAATGAATCACATTCCACCCCTAAGGTTTAGTCTGTCACAAGCTCTGTGACGTGTAACACTGGTTGCAGACTGAAAACAGCTTGTATTGATCGTTCTGTAAATACAGAACTACAGGCTAAGTTCTGAACCAAAGAAATTATTTAAACATGAGATAAAGCGTGGGAAAAGGGATACAGACTGATAGGGGAGGGGGAATGCAAGGAAATGGGTCAATAAGTTAAACTGTTTGAAGTTTCATATTTTAGATATGGTTTATGATGAAATTTGTCTTGGATCTTCCAACAAGTATAAGAAAAGCAACCAGGTCTGTCAGTATATAATACGTATCTGGACATTTACTGCTTTTGTTCTCTTCTAGGATAAAGTAATTAGCCACTATTTCTTGAAACAAGCAGGTTTGGTTAAATGTTGCTTAACGAGTAATTTCCGTATATGGTATCATCATGAAAAAATGTAAGAAGAAAGGAGTTGTTTCTGTGGAAATAGAGGTATTTCCTTTAAATAAGATAAAAATCCATTTTTCTCACTGGGAAAGTTTTGCAAATACTCTGTGATAAAGAACATAAATTTGGCAAAATATAAACTTGCCTATATCACTAAGCATATTTGTCTTTTATCCAAATCCAAAAATCAAATGCAAAACATATCACACGAACTACTATGAAGAAAGTTAAGTTTATCCCAGCCAAAGCCAGTACATGAGTGCAACAAAAGTACTTAAATCTATTAACTACATTTAAGGATCAATAATTTCTTCAGTTAAGAAAAACTCTGCCTTGAAGTTCCTAATGTAGTAATGGCAACAGTATACCTACCTCCTGGACATGGGACAAGAGTGAGGGGAATGCATTAGTTGTGTCCATTTCCAAGGCATTTTGATATGTCTTCTGTTGTTCTCTGCTTGGCCTCTTCTTTTCTAATACCAGTCATTAAAATCCAATATAGTTTTACTTTGAAGCACTATGGGTTCTGAAAAATATAGAGATAAATACCAGATAACAGTATTTGCTACTTGCATTACAGTCCATTTTGCATTTAACATAAACTAAACTTACTAATGAAAACTTATTGAGTTCTTATTTCCTGACTTTTTTTAGTTTTTGAACATTCTTTGATTAACAGTCACCAAATACTTGCTCTGAGCAAAAATGTACAGGTGTTAAAAGAAATTCCTAATAACCTAGTAGTGTAGAAGTTGTTGCTGTGCATTCGGCAATAAAATATGATTGTGCTGTAGTGGTTTCTTCTGAAGAAAAACTGTCCCTTTGGCCATGCATATTTCTTGGAAATAATTTTTGACTCCAGCAATTCAAGAATCAAATTTCAGCAGTATCATTTTGTAAAAAAATCTTTCAGTCTGTCTTACCTTTTGTTTTAAATTCAGCACTTCTTTGGGTTTTTTTCCCTTTTTGCTGTAGATTTATTACTGTTTTTACACTTCAGTTATTCTAGATGCAATATATTGTAATAAAGGTAATCATACAATAGGAAAATTTCAGGAGTTGTTTTACCAGATAAAGCTTTAGAGCAGGGCAGATGGTTTTATTGATCCCCTTCACTTTTCAGTATCTAATACCTATTTTATGAGAGTGTGTGCACTTCAGTTTTCTGTCTCAGAGTCCCAGTTCAAGTATTTATTTCTGCATATTTGAAGCTTACTGAAGAAAAAAAGCCTGTAACTTTTTGTGTAGTTCAGATCTGTCCTTGGATCTCCATTTGACATTTTTAGTCTGCAGTTTCCAGTTTTGTTTCCTCTCAGAGGTTTTGAGATGCACAAACTTTATTCTTATAAACCTGAACCAGCATACAGTAAGTGGGGAGAATACAGATTTGTTTCAGTGGCACAGTAATGTTCCCAGCCATAACGTTATGGAAAATATGGCCATCTAAGGAGGTATTTTGAGAGGACTCAGTGAACAATAGACTTTATATTAACTGTAGCTTTCTGACACTCAAGTCTGAGTTTCAGGTAGAAAAAAGGGGAAAAAAAAAAGTCAGTTTCAAATTACAACTTGTAAATATATACATTTTCACTACTGTTCCCCATGTATGGAAATTGGGGAGTAGTGTTAAAGGTTTGAGATACTGTATCTTATGATTGTTTTGCATATTGCTTTGTATGTAATACTATGATAATTACCATCATAATAGTTTAAAATACAAAGTGAAAAACAAATATGGTAGAGATAATACTGACTCTTGAGTGCTTAGTCAAGCTTGATATTTTTCATTATTGCATTGTTTAAACTTCTATATGAAGTGTACAGGTGTGTAGACCTTGTGAGATTTGGTTATAATAATAAAACTAGTGTGACATTCTCTGCAACACGTTCCCAGTTAAAATTTTTTTTCGATTTCTTTTGATAGTCATATGGTTTATTTTTAGGTAGTCCTGCAAGGAGCAGGGATTTGGACTCCATGATCCTTCTGGGTCCCTTCCAACTTAAGATACTCTATGATTCTGTGATTTTTCCTTAAGCTTCCCTCATCAAAAGTCTTGGCTTTTTCCCAAAAGGTTAGTTATAAAAGATAGTTATTTTCCAAAAGTATTAAATAGAGGGACTAATATTTGTATAGAGATTATACTAATACTATATACTAAAATGTGACTTTTCATTCATTGATTATTAGATATCATAGTGAGAAATAACTCAACTGAGTAACTCAATTTTTTAATTACTCAATCGAGTGAGCAATATTGCATGAATCTCAGACTTCTATTTAATGGGAAACAGTAATTACACATTTTGAAGTAGTAAGTTGCACTCTGTTATTAATGTCTAAAGGTATTGCAATGCCACTTCAACTCTGTTGGTTAAAAGTCTAAAATGTGCTCCAGATGTCTTCTGTAAAAGTCTGCTATTTCTAATACCAATGTAATTGCTTCAGGAACTGATTCAGAATTCACCAAATAGTTATTGCTTTAATGCAGGAGTTAGTAACTTGGAAGGTGTTCCTGTTCTGTCAGGTAAAAGACTGTCATTGTAGACCCTATAAGTGTATCTAAAAGTGAATATTATAAAACTAGCTCTCATTTTATCATTATATCCATGTGTTGGTCTAATGCAATAATTAAATAGAATGAAATATGTTGGTACTAAGTCTCTTGTTTTATGTTTGGTTAGTTGTTCCTGATGGTTATACAAGGTTCTCTTCAATTTGTTTGTGGTTTTTTACAGGTTACAGAAATCACACCTCTTCTGAGATAATGATTTTAGGTACACAATGTAGATAATTAACTATTGTGGTATTTCTGAGGTCTATAAAATAAAATATTTTTGTCCTAGATGTTATATAAAGGTAGTGCACACTTAAGTAGCCCTATTAAGCACTTCATAGGTTTCAGATAAACCTCTGTAGGTACTCTGTAGTTCTGTTACTCTTTGAATAGATTTCTTTACAGGTGATCTTCTACAGTATTTAAACTATTTTAATAAGACTGCTTCAGGGGAAACTGTATTTACATTGAAAACCCTGAGGACACTTACATGAATACATTTTCTCTGTTCTTAAACTTTTAAAAATCTCATGTCATTGGTCTGTTTTTCTTCGGAATATTTTCTGTTAGAATAGTTTATTTTATAAATTGAATACTAATGGTTTCTGTTATGTGATTTTTCATTATTAATTCAGTTTGGAGAGAAGAAGTGCTCAAACCTACATTTAGAGCTTTTTGACTAATGTGAGAAATGGATGCAGTATTTTTGTGTACTACTGTTTGTCTTCTATTTGCATTTTAGTTTGGAAGTTTCTCTAATTAAGAAAAATGAGGGACCCCAGTGGCCAGAGCTAATAGTTGGTGACACAAGAGGAGAATTCATTATGGACTCTTCCCAATGCTCTGAAATAACTGAAAGCCTGATGCATCTTACCTCTGAAGTAATGGTAAGGAGCTGAAAATAAAACATTTAAAATTCTTGTACATTTGCATGTTGCATTCTCCTGATAACCTAATTTGCACTTCATTGACAGAGCTTATCTGTCCATTTACTATTCAGAATTCTAACTCTGCATTAATTTTCAACTGAAACTTTTAACAAACTAATGACACTAGAGTTGTGAATATACTTTGAACACTAATATAATCTTCACTGGGGACTGTATTTAGCTTACATGATAGCATCTGCACCAAAATAGAAGTTTGATTAAGCATTGAAGATAAATTTTGTTCCCACCACTTATGTGGCAGTTTCTTTTAATGTAGTTGATTTAAGTAATTTTTAATCTTGTTTAGCAATAGGTTAGCAACACTTTTATACTGTCTTCCTAGGAATACTATACTTGACTTATAAACCGTGAGTGTAAATGACGCTTTAAAAAAGAAAATTTAGGAAAGCATAAGTATGACTCATTAACTCTCTGGCATTATTGTTATACAAGTAGTCTACCTAAACCAAAATAAAATGTAATTTTTAGCTGTTGTTTGCTTGATACTTCCCCTTTTGGATTAATCAGAAAATGGCATCTCATCTAAAACTTGTGAAGTGTGACTCCCTATGGGTCTTGATATATTACTTTTGGATTATTACTTTTTTTAATAAGGCTGAAAAGTGTTATTAAAATAAACTGTTTAGTACTATAAATTGAGTTCTTCCCTCTCACCCTCGCTATCTGTGGGCAAGATATTGTAGTACACCTTTTGACCATGGATTCATTGGGAACTTCAAATTTCTTTTCTTTTGTAACTCATACTGAGCGTAAAGTGTGGAAAAAAAAAATCAACTTTTCAGTATGTGTGCAACAATGATCATGTAAAAAAATAAAAAATCTTTCCTTAGGGAACTGTTCATTTAAATAAATGTCATGTATTTTGTTATACTCGAACTTCAGCTACTTATGTATTAAAAAGGCATGGATTCTTTTTGGTCATCTCAGTTGCTTGTGGTAATGATGTTTACCTGGAAGTTTTTTTAAAAGCCACCCAATAAAACAGTAAACCAGAGGGGAACCCCAAAGTCTAACCTATAAAGAGACAGATACCCTGTGTGAAGTCTTGTGGAGTATATTAAGCCTGCATTATATAACACTCAATTTTCCTGGCTTCTGTCATTTAAGCATGTTTCTTTATCTCTTCATGTTTGTTTTCTTTGGACTTAAATTGTCTTACAATTAAAAAAAAAAAAAGTGCTGATCTCTTTCTCTTTGTGGACTAAACCAAAATAAAGTTCTTCATAATCAGCTGAAATGGTTGAAGAAATGAGCACAGGAACTCAAGAACTTCTCCCTGTCAGATGAATTGAGTCAGTACCCAGTCTGATCTTTCCTTACAAATTCTGTTTGGCCTCAGCTTTCAGCTTATATTAGTTGTCAAGACAATGTCTTTTTTGTTCAAGAAGCAACATTAGTTCATACTTAACAAGGAAGCGTGTATTTTTGTCTTCTATTAAATAAAGGTCCCTTTCAGTTATCATGAAATTAGTTCTTTAAATATATGATAAAGGTAACATAGCTTGGTGATTTTGAAAATTCTCCAAGGAAGATGTCATTAGCAAAAGTAAGCTGTTTCTGTCTACAGTAGCGTTGTATCTTCCTCTCAAATTAGTAGTAAAAGTGACTTTTTTTTCTTGTTTTGAGTGCATTAGAAATATACATAACAAATTGTTAATTTTAAATAATTATTAGCAAAGCTAAAAGGAGGCATGTATTTAGAGCTACTTGCAGAATGACTTAATCCATTTTTTAAATAGCATTTCTCATGGGAATCTAAAAGAAGCTTACACTAATATAAATTTCCTAAACCTGCATAAGTTTTCAGGCTCGTATACTTTTGTTACTTACAGAAGGGAACTTTTTGTCCATATTTTAGTGGCTTACATACCTTTCCTTAAACTGAAACGGATTTTGTTGTACCTACTACTCATGCTGTCCTCCACAACAGAAATGGTTTTGAGTAAGTACATAATAGCTTGATCTTTCAGTATGTAAGGATATGCAAATGATTCTTCCTGTTCTACTGAACCTTTTTTGTTATGAAAAGGAATAGATAGATAGACAGACAGACATTCAGTTGCTTGGATTTCCAGTGTAGTTCATGGTCTTTTTTTATTTCAGAATCCAAACCCTGAAAAGGAAAACCCACCTTGTAATGCTCAAGAATTAGAAGAATGTGATGCTTTTCTTGAAGATAGCGCAAGCTTGTGCAGATTTGATGGTGATACCATGAAAGTCACTCATGTAGTAAGTGCTGCAAAATTGCAGAAATATTTAAAAACATTTTTAAATGATATACATTTTGAATTCTATTATCAGAACAAAAATCTGTGCAAACTCTTGAAAACACAAATTTCTTCCATAATGTAAAATCACAGCAGCAACAGAAATTATCAACTGATATGTTCTTCGGTGTCATTTTAATATAAAAACAAGTCTCCTTTTAATCTGATTTTTAAAAAATACATATTTTCACAGGTGAGCCATTTGAAAAAGCAAAGTTATGTCAGAATAATTATAAGGAAAGGGTCTTTTTCAGTGGCATAAAATTCTTCTAGATTCCTTAGCTTGCATTTTGCTCAGTAACTTTTCAGATAACCTGTCAGAAAGTCGATGCTTTTTACTAAGGAGCTGGAGCATAGATCACCTTATGATACTTGTTTGTCAGTCGCACTGGAAATAACAGATTGTAAGCAAAATGCTTTGATGGGAGGCTTGATCTGGGTTGTAAGCATCTTTGACTAACAACAGTATGTTAGGACTTAATCTGGTCCATTGACTAAAGTGGGTAACAAAATAATCATGAAAGCGTCACAGATTAAGTTGTCATCTTGGTGGTTTGTTTGGGTTTGGGTTTTTTTTTCAAGATGACTCTACTAAGCTTGTAATAAACATGGGTGTTGCACCTCATCACTACCTTGTGTCATGCAAAGCACTTATAAAATAATCTGTTTTTTACAGAAAATGTCATAGTTACAGGTCAAGATTTTGAACCAGTTTATAATTTCCCATTTCCTCAGAAAATCTCTAGAAGTCTTAAGTCTGTGTCTTGCAGATCTTGGTTTGTTCTTTTTCTTGGAAAAAAAAACCCAACTTTTTCATTTGCAGTATAGATGCATATGCATATGTCTGTATGTGTGTGTACGTGTATGTATGCCTGTACATGTATCTGTGCTGCCAAAGGAAAAAAGATTAATTTTAAAGGCTAGCATGTTTCACCAAGAAAGTAGTCTATTTTGTGGGTACGTGTGTTGTGATAGTTAACATTTGTCAGAAGACAAAACCTGTAATTTTATAGCAACTCAGCTCAAATAGATTTTAGCTGTTCAGTGATGGGGGGTAAGAGAAGAAGAGACAGCAGGCATAAGTAGAAACAAGAGGCTCAAACTGGATGGAAGGAAAATCTTTCACACCATCATTGTAGCATGGATCAGGTTGCTTAATAAGGTTGTGCAACCGCTGTCCTTGAGGTTTTCAAGACCAGACAGGATAAATTTCTGAATAACTTAGCCTAAAATACTGTGTCTGGCCTTGAAAGGTAAGAAGTTTGTGCCCCAGGAGATATTTTACAGGCCAGGACGAGTATGATATCACAGGATCAAGAAAAGCAGATCTCGCATACTGCATTCTAGCAGGCAGCAAGACATTGTGGAGCAAGTGTGAACTCCAGGGTGTTTGTAAAGAGCTCTTAAAAATGGGAGGCATAAAAGTAATCTGGAGGCTAATGTGTTTAAAACATTATGGTCAAAGGAATAATTACTGTGGGTAGGAAATTTTCGTGCACGTATAACCTGCTCTAGCTGACCCTGCTTTGAGCAGGGAGGATTGGACTAGAATACCTCCAGAAATCACTTCCAGCCTCAGCTATGTGATTTTGTGGTTTTGGTCCTTGTTGGAGGACATAGGAACATGAATAATTCAGTAGATTTTTCACCATACAGGAATATATTTTCACTTTGATTTAGTTCTTTCAAATTGCTTGGGGTTTTTTTGTTAGCAGTTCAGTGGCCTATTTCCTTAAGAATTGTTGCTTATACATTTTTTTTCTCCGTTGTAGTAAACCATCATCAGTAGGATACAGTTCTAATATGTCTTCTTCCTCTTTAAGTTGGAGAGAAAATTGTGAAATGTATGTTCAGAATCTTAGAGAATCGAAGACTGTGAAATATGTATATAGGAACATTTCCCATCTTGAGTTATAACTTAAGGAAATAAAACATTGATAATGCATTGATGTCTGTTCTATAGAGACTTGATTCTGTTCTTCGTGATGTTTTCTAGTGCATTTCAATGGCAATGATCCAGCTGAAATAAAACAACCAGCAATTTTTGTCAAATACATTGCTATACTGTCCTGTTCTTGTGTGCCAAAATTACATTTGTCTCCTCTAGCTCAAATGCAGTTGTGAAGTTTTTCCTATAGAGAAATACTTGCTTTATTAATGTAAGTTCTTTAAGTTAGGTCCTCAGTGATGGCCTAAATTCCAGCGTATTGTGTTTCCAAAACATCAGAAACTAGAGATGCATGATGGACAATTTTTTTTGCTGTGGAGGGGAAGGGGCTTTGTCAGGTCAAGTATAGGCTGCCTAAAAACACTACCTTATTTCTGGAACTGCTTGCAGTAGCATTTGCAAGATAACGTTTGCCTTCTGTGTTATGCAGATTAATATATATACTACCATATGCTTGAGTTCTGTATTATGATAAAACCAGTTGCAGGCACATGTATGACAAAATGGACAGAAATTAGTAGTTAAAAAAATTGCTGAAAGATGTCTGAAGTATAAAGTGATGCTGTGTGCCTGCAATGGGGAAGCCAAGGTATCCAGATACTTAGAATTGGGATGCCTTAAGGGAAGAGGATGCTACTTGGTTTTTAGATACAAAAGATGAGAGTATTCCCTGTGATTTGTGGAGCAAGCAGAAAATAGGAAATGGACTCTGTAAACCTAGGTCTTTGAATAGCTAATTGCAGTAGGTAGTTTCAGAGAGCAGTTGATCTGTGACAGAAGACTTTTTTGGTTGATAGATGGATTATGGAAACACAACAGAAGAACTTCTGTTCATTTTCCACTAGCTGACATATAAGGTCACTCTTTCCTTGCTCGTACGCCTATATAGAAGCATGACCTTGGTTAACTAAAATGGTGTGTCATGTATTTGTATGTTTGTTGGAGTGGAGATGCTCTCTCTAGTGGTGATAGAAAAAGAGAAGAGGCAAGGCTTTCCTCAAGAGCTTTTCTGGTTCTGAATGCTTTGCCTGAATAACTGCTTCAGGTTGCATGTTTTTTCATTGCAGTTCAGTTTCTCATGTTCTGTCAACACTCATAAAAACTTCTTTTGCATTTGGGCTCTCTGTCCAAGTCATCTGTATCTCTGTTGCATGTAAAATAGGCAGTTAATGCAGCTTAAATAGCATTTAAGCATTTCAAAATAAAAAAATTACTTCTGGGGGAAAAAAGTAATCAAAGTTCAGAACTACTTTGCTGAGGTGCTATACATTTACAATATTTCTCTACATATTGCACAAGCTTACTAAAACCTGGAAAAAAACTTAATTCCTTTAGTCTGTTAGAAATGGTTTGCAATGTAAAAATTAACAATAGCTAAGTAACATGACACTTTCACTTATCATATATGTAATAATGTTATTGTTAGGACACACGTAGATTTAAATTGCATGTTGGGTGTTTTGTTTATTTAATTACAGATGTTTATTTTTACTAAAATAAAAAATTTGATGTTTGTAAAACTCCCACATTTCTGACATGGTACCTCTAAAAGGATATATTTTTTTTAAATTCTGATGTGTTCATTTCTAAATAAGGGATTTACAAAATACTAAGTGCTTCACCTTTAAAAATATGTGTGGTTGCTGTTGAAAGACATGCACAATTTACTCAGTGCTGTCTGCTATAAGGCTTACTTCTTGTCATATATAAATAACTTGTATACTGTTGTACATTTGGCTGAAAATGGTGATTGCTGGTGACTTCAAAGCTACTGTTGTGCTAATGTTGGGGTTTTACTGTGGTGTCATAAATATTTGTGCAGTGTTTGATTCTCTATGAAACTACTTCCTCAGTGCAAAGCAGTTTCATAAAAGTTGATTCCTCAGAGTCTAACCCTCTCCCTTATCTAAAGGACTGATGCATAATGAAGTGAGCTGTGGATGAGAAGAGTGCTCTGCCTGTTATCCATCTCAAGGATGCTTCATTTCTGTCAGTTCAGATACAATAAGAAAGAGGAGACACCTATGCACCATGCCTCAGCTTGTAGAGCTGTATTGGGTGTTTTTACACAGATGTTGGCAGCAGGGCAGCTGCAGAGGTGGCCTCTGCAAGAAGAGGCTGGGGCTGCCCTGTGCCACGCACAGCTGGTTCCAAACAGCTACAGTGGGCCCACTGTAGGACACAGCTGAACCCATCAGGAATGCTGGTGGCCCCTCAGGGAAAATATACTTAAGAAAGGGCAAAAAATGCTGTGCAGCAGCAGTGAGAAGGAGGAGTGAAAAAAATATGAGAGAAACAGCACTGCAGGCACAAAGAATAGTGAAGAAAGAGGAGGGGGAACAGGTGCTCCAGGTGCCAGAGCAGAGATTCCCCAGCAGCCCATGAAGAGCGGCATGGTGAGTCAGTTTGTCCCCCTGCAGCATGTGGAGGACCATGGTAGAGCAGATATCCATGCAGCATCCCATGAAGGACCCCACACTACAGCGGGTGGATGTTCCCTTGATGAAGCTGCAGCCAGTGGAGAGCTCACACAGGAGCAGGCTCCTGGTAGGAGCTGTGGCCCATGGAGCAGAGCTCACACAGGAGCAGCTTTTCTGGTAGGAACTATGGCTCATGGAAGACCCGTGCTGGAGCAGTCTATTCCTGAAGGACTGTACACGTACCCTGTGGAAAGGACCCATGTTGGAGCAGTTCTTGAGGAACTACAGCCCATCAAAAGGACCTATGTTGGAGCAGTTCATGAAGGACTGTATCCCATGGGAGGGACCCCATGCTGGAGCAGGGAAACAGTAAGAAGAGGAAGGAGCAGCAGAGATGAAGTGTTAAGGACTGACTGCAACCCCATTCCCCATCTGCCTGCATCACTCTGGTAGTGGGGGAGGTAGAGGAATCAGGAATGAAGGAGTGAAGTTAAGCCAAGGAAGGGTTTTTTTAAATCTTTGTCTTTGTTCCTCATCATCCTACTTTATTTTTAATTAGCAATAAACTAAATCAGTTTTCCTCAAGTAAAGTCTATTTTGCCCTTGACGGTAGAATTGGTAAGTGATCTCCCCATCTTTATCTCGACCCACGAGCTTTTTCATCTTAGTCTCCCCTGCTGTCCTGTTGGGGGGGGGCGGGGGGAGTGAGAGAATGGCTGCATGGGTGTCTGGCAACCAACTGAAGTCAAACCCACCTGTCCTGGTTTTGACTGGGATAGCTCAAGAAAAATTAACTCTATCACAGCCAAAGCCAGGACACCACCACAGTAACTTAGTTCATATCCAGTTTGAAAGGCAGTAGCTGTTTTACACGTAAGCACAGTCAAAGCTCAGGATTAGTTATTGACTGTTCTATCTCATACTCAACAAAGCAGGTAGGGATTAATCAGAGGAAAGAATTTAAGAAGAGATGTTTTTTACAAGGAGTTCTGGGGTAGAGAACCTTGTGGAAATGTAATTCCAGTCTGTATGAAGCCAAGCTTCATTTCCTTCTGGTGCTCTGGGAACAACTTGCTTTTCGTACCTGGGAGGTCAGGGAATGAAATAGAAGTAATAACGATGACTTGTGGAGATCAGCAAAACAGAGGTCACATTGACTAAAAATGGCTGAGAAGGCTGGCCCTTCTAGCAGGTTCTTCTGGTCAAATCATACTGTAATTGACTGTCCATGGCCCCGTGGAGTGTCATCACATCAGTGTGTCTTGATGCACAATTCCCATGATTGACTTTTTCCCAGGTGTGAAAAGCAGGTGGTGCCACTGTGGGGGCCCACGTGAGTGAGTCTTGAGCTGAATGTATGAGAAATCTTGTTTCCTTTCTCAAGTTGTTTCCCCTTCATTCTGCCTGTTTTTCCTGTGCTCAGAGGTGTGTTCCACTCACCTTTGGTGTCATCTGCCTAACCTCTGCTGATTCTTACCTTTTCCAGATTTTAAGGAATTTGAGGGACTAGAACTGCATATTTTCCCTTTTGCTCAGTACATTGCACCAATATAACACCTGCCTCTTGTTTTCTTTGTTCTCCTTAAGGCATCTTATTAGTTATCTTGACATTATCTTCATTAGTGTTTCTTTGCCTCTTAGTTGCTTAGAAAATTAGTAACCCACATTTCATGACTGCATCTGGCCCTAATGGAGACAGGATTATTTAATCTATTTTGTAGCTTTAATAAAACAGAAGAATTTGTATGCCTGTTGAATGGCATAGTAATAGACGGCTGTTTTGAAGTTGAGCCATTAGACTTGAACATAATCAGCTGAAATAACTGTATTAGTTCTGCCATAGACTGTATGACCTCAACAAATTTCTATGTCTTGATAGCTTTTGTTTCTGTCCGCTGGATCTTATGTTAAGATTAAATTAGGGTCTTCAAGGCAGACACCCCATCCTGTGATATTTGTACAATGGTAGAATAAAAGGCTTGCTGTTCATAGTTATTGTCACAATACCTGTAATAAAGAGCGCTGTGACAACTGTTTAAGAATGATTAGTCAACAACTGTCAGCATCTGAGATGCTCATTGAGAAGTAATGCATCGTGCTATGTATTAGAGTGTAATCCTGCATGTTGCTGTTGCAGACATAGCTTCTGGATATAAAAACTAGTTCAGACATATTTGTTCATCCAGTAACATGAACAATATAGATCAGCTGCAAGTACAAACAGGCATTCCTGATCATCCTTTTCTTGATGGACATTAAGGGAACAGATTGTTCTCTCCTCTGTGCATTTGCTAGTCATAGCGCTACATTAAAAGTATTGCTATTAACTTCATTAAAGAAGGCTTTACATAGATGTTATGACCCAGACTGGAAGCCCAGGGAGTTGTAAAGGTGCATGATCCCCTCGAATTAAACTGAAGTGAAACGACACCAAACAACCAGTTAAAATGTTTTACTTGTGGTAGAAACATCTTGAACTTAGTAAAAGGATAATAAGGGATGTGGTCTCTTATTGATAAATCTGTAGGGAAGGATCCAGATCACCACCCCAGGTTCCAGCATTGTCTCACGTCTGGTAATCTTGGGTGGTGGTACACACACAGCTAAGTTTTCTGTTGCCTTTTAAGTTCATCTGATGGCTGATTTGCATACTAAATAAGGAGAGCCATGTTTTAAATGGACTCATTATCATGAGAGATGAGGAAAGGTGGAGCATGGGTTCTTCTCAGGCATTGAGAGGGTATGGACTGCATTAACCCTTTCATCCAATTGAGTAGATGGTTGCAATCTCCCCCTGCCACTTTTACCTTTTCCCCAGTTACCGCTGGTTTTTGCTGACTTCATGCTTCTTAGGCAACCATCTAGTCTTTGTCTCATTCTGGGGCAGGTGTTTCACTCTTACCAATCTTCTTCTCTTCTTGAAGATGGTAGTCACTAGCAAGGCCTGCATCGTTTATACAAAGTATCAGACTTACACAATAGAGCCAGTGGTCCTCCTTAGAAGATCAGTGCAGCAGACAGTTCAATGAATGTTTGAGGCATTAACTCCTTCAGCTCCTCACAATAGAAAACTCAAAATATGTGTTGTTTTATTGTGTATTCTTACTATTCTTTATTCAGGTAGCAGAATATGCTTGTCTATCTTACGTAATTGGTCATTCCTGGTGAATAGAATCAGCTGTCTGGAAGAGAAGGATCTGGGGTTTCTAACTGACAAGCAGCTGACCATGAGCCAGCAGTGTGCCCAGGTGGCCAAGAAAGCCAACAGCATCCTGGCTTGTATCAGAAATAGTGTGACCAGCAGAAGTAGGGAGGTAATACTGATGAGGCCACACCTGGAGTATTGTGTCCAGTTTTGGGAACCTCAATACGAGAGAGATATCGAGGTGCTGGAGCGAATGCAGAGGAGTGCAACGAAGCTGGTGAAGGGCCTGGAGAACAGATCCTGTGAGGAGCGATTGAAGGAGCTGGGACTGTTCAGTCTGAGGAGAAGTCTGAGGGGAGACCTCATCACTCTCTACAGCTACCTGAAAGGACATTGTAGAGAGGTTGGTGCTGGTCTCTTCTCACAGGTGATTAGTGACAGAACAAGAGGGAATGGCTTTAAACTGCAACAGGGGAGGTTTAGACTGGACATTAGGAAAAAACATTTTCACAGAAAGAGTGGTCAGACAGTCGAATAGGCTGCCCAGAGAGGTGGTGGAGTCACCAACCCTGGATGTGTTTAAGGGTCATTTAGATGAGATGTTGGGGGATGTGGTGTAGGGGAGAACTTTGTAGAGTAGGGCTGATGGTTGAACTCAATGATCTCAAGGGTCTTTTGCAACCTGAATGATTCTGTGATTCTATGAATTGTTTATTGAATGGTTTTGGTGATCTAGACATATTTGATGAAGAATATGATAATCTGAAATTTAGTAACTATTTGATTGTGAGTAAATAAAATTGTTGACATTTCATAATTTTAATATTCTAAGTAATTCTTGTTCCAGTGCTTTACCAACTTTTCCTGCAGAGGGACAGTATTTCCTTCTCTATTGGCACTACAGAAAACCAGATGTGATTACTTAGAGAGAATCTTTTTCTAACATCAGAAGTTGTAGGTTATGTTGCTGTATCAGAGAAAATAATTTCTACACAAAACATTCCCATTTGTTTGTGTATTAGACATCATGTTTCCCTGACTATTATCCCAAGAAACTTAATAGCATCTACTTGATATGTATTAGCTACCTGTAGTGTATTGAGCTGTTGATCAGTGGGATGCAGCGTAATGTATTCAAACATTTTGTCAACTAACAAACATGAAACTGTTGATCATTTCACTTTGGCAATATGTGTGACAGAATCTGCTATGTATGCTGTGAATCAATATTTTGTGTTTCTTTGTTTTGCTTTCAGATTAATCTTGGAAGCAACCAGTATCTTTTCTCAGTTGTTGTGGATCCCAGAGAAATGCCATGCTTCTGTCTGAGGCATGATGTTGATGCTCTTCTCTGGCAGCCCCACTCTGACCAACCAGAGAACATGTGGGAACACATTGCAACTTTTAACGCTTTAGGTAGGAAATAAACTTCTGTGTCACATTTGTCTGTCTAAGACTTTTTACCTGAATACTCTTAGTATGACTTCTGTTGATATTTCACTTCATTACATTTCAGTTGAAAGGTACTATAATTTTGTTGATAGCATCATGGTATCTTAATCTTAGAAATATTAGAACGTAAGAAAACTTGGGAGGAAAATAAGCCATTTCAGACCATATACAGGATGCAAGCACAGTATTACACAGTAAAAATGAGACTTCCTTGGATAGGTGAACTTGAGTTAAAGCCTTAAAAGCACAATCACTACCTTAACACTCATACAGAAATCATCAGGGAAACAACTGCAGTGTATGTATGCTTATGGTATGATGTTTTAATATGTGACTTTAGATTTTTCCTATCTCGATGTCCCAGGTGACAAGTCTGAAGAATTGGACATGATTGTTCACTATTTCTTCAGTTTTAAGAGCATCAAATGATGCTTATACATAGTAGGTTGAAAAGAAGCTAAAATAAATACTTCACATAAGCACTTTTAAGCTCTGGAACCTTTGTTACAAAACTTGATGGACGTGGAAATTTTTTATGGATTTGAAAAACAAAAATAAATTCATTGTGACAGGAAAAATCATTCAGGAGCGTAAGTGCCAGCTCTGGCTGAAGAAGCCCCTAACTCTTCTGAAATTACAGACTGCCAGAAGAGTAGAAAATGTGATTGTGAGGGATTCTTAGTTATTGCTGTAGTCTTGCAATCAGAACTAAGAATTTGTTTTTACACACTGAAGCAGAATCCTAAAGCTCAGAATCAGAAAGTACTTTGAAAAATATGGATGCAAGAATAAGAATTGCTCTATTAAATAGGATGGTCCACATAGCCCAGTATTATACCTTTAAAACAAGAAACAGATAGATTGGTTTTCATGAAAATTAATCTGGTCCAGAATTTACTTCTGATGTCTGCTGTAGTCTTCATGTTTTCTAAGTGTTCTCTAGGCCCATTCCTTCAATAAGGTCATGAATGTGACAATTTATTCCCGCCCTCCCCAAAACACATTTGTTTGACCACACCACTCTCAGCCTGGGTCCAAAATGAAAGGAAAGATATAAGGTGCTCGCATAGGTTATCACCAGAAGTATCCTGGGCTGCATCAAGAGGACTGTGGCCAGCAGGTTGAAGGATCTCCGTCTAATCCACTCTTGTGAGACCCCACCTGCAGTATGGTGTTCAACTCTGGGGCCCCCAACATAAGAAGGACGTGGACCTGCTTGAGTGGGTCCAGAGGAGGCCACAAAGATGATCAGGGGGCTTGAGCCACCTCCCCTACGAGGACAGGCTGAGAGAGTTGGGGTTGTTCAGCCCAGAGAAGAGAAGGCTCTGGGGAGACTTTACAGCAGCCTTCCAGTACTTAAAGGGGGCTACAGGAAAGATGGGGAGGAACACTTTCAGAGGAAGTGTAGGATAGGATGAGGGGTAATGGTTTTAAACTGAAAGACAGAGATTTAGATTAGAAATAGGGAAGACATTTTTTCCTGTGAGGGTGGTGAGGCACTGGAACAGTTTGCCCAGAGAAGCTGTGGCTGCCCCCTCCCTGGCAGTGTTCAAGGCCAGGTTGGACGGGGCTGTGAGCAACCTGGGCTAGTGGAAGGTGTCCCTGCCCATGGCAGGAGGGATGGAACTGGATGATCTTTAAGGTCCCTTCCATTCTGTGGTTCTATGATAACACATAATTGGTTTTGTTCTGAGTTTTTGCAATTTATTTAGTTTTGTAATGTGAATGATTTTTTTTTTAATAGCCAGTTATTTTAACTTAATCAAATTAAGCTGTAAGCATCTTAACAGATCCTCTAACGAAAGAGCTTAATTTCACAATTTGTTCTTTGTTTACTCATTTCAGATTTTATTATGCTGGGAAAAAAGTGGATGATAAGGAATAAGATTTTTTTTGTCAAATTATTATCTGTTTCTATGCTGGCTTTGTAGTACTGTTTAAGTATGTGTTTCTATTGTTTTGAAAATAACAAGAAGGAAATTATGGTACCTATGAGCTTTTTGTACCTAAGGTGATAAACCCCAAAATTGTTCTTTCTCCTTATTGTACTATTATTTTACAGTAACATATTGAAGTTTATACTTCTGTACTAATCTAGTTCACCTTTTATGTGCCAGAGGTGATCTAAGTAATTAGCTAGTTTATCTACAATCAAATTTAAAAGTACTTTGGAAGAGCTAGTAGTAACAATTAGTATTTTCTAGCTTAAAAGGCTAGTTTTCCAAAGCCTACAGTATTCATTATATTGACCAAAGCAATGGTAATAGCCTTATTTCCTTCTTCCTCTACTTGAACATTTGGAATTTGTTTTTAACAAGCTATACAAAGATGATGATTGAAAAAATAATATTTTTCAATTCAAGTCTTGGACTGAAAGCTAGGGAAGGAGCTGAAGGGAAACTGACGGAACCAAGTTTTTTGTTCTGTATATCCATTCTAACAACTTTCTGTTGAAAAAAAGCAATTGGTCTTGAATAGACCTTTGGCTGTTAGGGTCTAATCATTTGCTTCTGGTTGAAGGAGCATTTGTGTGATCTTGCCTATTCTTACCACAGTTTGCTGAAGAAGCCTGTATCTTTCACTGACTGCTCATTTGTCTTGCTATATAAATCCTCTGCTCCTAACAGTGTCATATCTATAGACCACAAAAATAGAGGACAGTGGCTTTTTAGATTTGTTTTTTAAAAAACTAGCCTATGATTTTCTTTCTGGGAAATCCCATTTAAATACAAGGCCCCTGGTTCAAAAGCTGCTTTTACCTGCAAACCTATACTTAAATCCTACTTTTATTGTTAGTGACAATTTTTTAATATATTAATTAAATTAATGAGGTTACACTTAGAAAGTTTTTTCTCTCTGTCCTAATATTTCCCACTACAGCAATCATGTAAATTGATAGTCTAGCTTTTTACTAATTGTATTGTGGTGAAAACTGTCAAGCTGGATTTGAATAGAGATCATGTTTTGAGGACAGTAGCAAGCATTTGTAAATTTAGAAGTTTTAGGGTTAGCATTTAAATAAAACCTTAAACCAACCAAAAGACCCTCAAGGCATGCAAATGGAGTGTTGAAGCTTGATGGTACTGTGGTGGGTTAGCCTGGTGGATGGCTTAGCACCCCACAGCTGCTTGCTGTCCTTCAGATCCCTTTCCTAGACCAAGTGGAACAGGGAAGGGAACCGGAAAAGCAAAAGCAAGAAAGCTTATGGGTTGAGCTTGTTGGTCAGTTGGGGTCAGATGCCCTGGTTGTGTCCTCTCCCGACTTCTTGTGTATCCCCAAACTACTGGGGGGGAGCAGAGTTGGAAAAAGAGCAAGTGTGACAGTGTGCAAGCACTGCTCAGCAATAGCCAAAAAATAATGTGGTTATTGACACTGTTTTAGTCACAAATCAAAACACAGAACCTTATGGTCTGCTGTTCAGAAAACTAACTCCATCCCAGCCAGCCCCAGTACAAGTAGTTTGACTACTCCCCAAGAGGGAGAGCCAAAAAAAGTAAACTCTAGCGTGCTTGCTGTCTTTCAGCGACTATCACTGCCATGCATTGTTCAGTGGAAGTGAAACACGTAACTTTTCAGAAGGATGGTAGATCACTTTGCAAAGATTGTGCCTCACGTTTCTTTATATAAGTGTGAAAGGAAATCAGTCTGAAATAAATTTGTTTACTAATTGAGTTCTCTAACGGCAGAGGAAAAGGAAGCCTTTCCCTTCCGAGGGAATATTAACAAAGATTACAGTGCATTGAAAAGTAACAAATGTTTTTTTCAGTCAGTTCTAAATAGAAGACAAGTTTTAAGTGTTTATTCAAGATTAGATAATCGCAGAAATCTTAAATTATAACCATAATTACAGACTGGGAGTTGAGGGGAGAGAAAAGGGTTATTCTATTTAGACTACTAATATTGGGCCAAGATGTATATCTGTGCCTTATGATCGTGCTGAGAAAATGAAAGACTGTTTGAGGCGGAGGGGGGCTAGATGTAGGAACATGTGCATCAAAAACACCAGTTAGGAAGAATGTATGTTGGTATTAAATTGGTTAATACATACCTCCAAACACTATTGGCTTATTTTGTAACAACATATATTTCTTTCTTTTTTTTTGTTACTAATTGTATATTATTTTTTAAGATAAGCATGATTTTGTCTTGGCCAGTTAAAGTGCTGTTGAAACTAATACATTACTTATCCCTTCTACTGCTTTTCGGGTTACACAGGTTATGTCCAAGCATCAAAGCAAGACAAGAAGTTCATGGCTTGTGCTCCAGATTACTCCTATGCTGCTCTTTGTGAGTGCTTGCGACGAGTTTTCATCTATCGTCAGCCAACTCCTCTGTCCACGGTTCTCTACAACAGGAAGGAAGGAAGACAAGTAGGACAAGTTGCTAAGCAGCTAGTAGCAACCCTGGAAGCCAGTGATCCTATCTTAGGCTTTCAAGCTACAAATGAGAGATTATTTGTTCTCACAACAAAAACGTTGTTTTTAATAAAGGTGAACTCTGGAAATTAATTATTTAGTATATTCTGCTGTAGTTTGTGTTAACAATTTGTTAACTGGCTGGGTAAATGATCTGAGAAGTTCAGTACAATTTGCTGAAGTTTAAAAAGGAGATATTTTATAGGGGAATCAAAATTTTTCATTAGAATTTGTCTATAACATAGTGAGAAAGTTTTTTAACTTTGCTGTCACTGAAGTAAGCTTTTTCAGAGCTATGGGAAAATCTCTTCTGCACTAACAGCTTTCTCAAAGAAATTGTCAGAGGCTGCTATTGCGTAGGTGAATGTTTTTTCCAAATGACTGTGTTTTGCCATACTTAGGAGTTTTGAGAATTCACTTCTGGTTTTAAATGCCACTGTTTACCTATGAAACAAATAGTCAGATAAAGAAAATAAAGCCTTGAGTTACAAGCGTATGATGTGCAAAGTAGTATGTATCAAAGGAAAAAAGAATATCTCAAATTCATAATACTGTTGGCCAAAGAAATTATTTAATAGTTCAATATTAAGCAGTATTGAGTGACATGTGAATGGCGTGAATGCAGTATTAAGTTTCTTATACAGGTAATTAATTCAGGTGGAATAATTTCCTCGAATATGTGGATTTTAGATTACTGATTTGGGACTCAGTCATGCTTGCAGTGAAATTTGTTCACATTCTGAGAGACAGTAGATAGCTTTTAGTAGCTTTTTCCTGAAGCAAAGCAAGGGTGAATGTATACCTGGTGGCTGCATATTGAATGGTATTAGTCAAGGTCTGTTATACTCTCGGTTGTGTCATTTTCATTTGACATTGTACTTCGCGTCAAGTGAATAATTTACAATTAGAAAATGGCTATCAGAAAAAGCACCTGTATTGTGCCCTGAGATGAGAAACTCAGAAGTGCTGCTTCTGCCTCAGATACCACTGTAAACACTGTATTAGTTAACCATTCTGTCTGTGATGCACAAGTCCAAACATGGTATATTTGCAATGTAAGAGTACAGAGGCCATGAGGATGCTTCAGTTTAACAAACTGGAATGGTTAATTGTATTGAATAGTTGTATCTGAAGATTTTTATTTCTTATTTTAAATTGACATTGTCAATACAGTTAAACCAAAAAAGGGTCAGTTGTGACAGCTCCACCCTAGGTTATTTCTTTTTCATAGCTTGCAGCTCCATAGCTAAGAATGCCTAATATATTGTGTACTGGCAGGAAAGCTGCTGTGATCTGTGGTACCAAAGTACTGAGACACACAAGTACAACAAGTGGCCTAGCAGTTTGCATCTCTTCCAATATTATTTCAGACCTCTGTAAGAATCTCTTGAGAGAAAAATAAGTGTTCTTTTTTTATGGACTAGCAGTTTCTTAGTTGCGATTGTTTTGACTCGTACATTCTGCAGACTAATATCAGTAAAATGATTAAGTAATATAGTGAGAATTTAAGGGGGAAACAAGCAGTTGGCTTGCAAAAAAAAACCCCTCCAAATGCAGGAGCTTTTCAAGGAAGCTGATTTTCCTCCTCCTTACAGCAGTTATTGTACGTATATCCAATACTGAAAAGTTTTTCTGTACTCCTACCTGAGTAAGTTAAAACACAATTTGCAGACCTTCCCTTCTCATTCTGTTTTTTTAAATCTGTCTTGAAAATGCTTTTTAGGAAGGCTCAGTGAATGTATTACTGTTTCATGATTGTTTTTTCATCTAAATTTTCATTGTTGGGCAATAACCTCAAACAGGTGGTAGAATTCAGGCAGAGGTGATTAGAAAAGATTTTACGTAGTTGATTACTTTGCAGCATAAAGTAAGTGCTTTGAGATTTATATGAATATTACTTAGTAACCTGAGATTTAATCATTGGGAACACAGAGTTAAGAACACATTGTGAAATTTGGGGAATGGAGTAATGAAGGGGGAGTGAAGGATTCATAGCCAACATGCTTTTGTCATCTCTTGAAGCTGCAGGAAGCTTCAGTGTAGATGACAATTTCAGCTGTTCTTGTCAAATTCTCCTTACTATGAGTTAGATATCTGGAAGTATAATTTTGCTGCCTCCTGCAACAGAGGAGGAAAGGTCAGTTAAACTGGTTACCTCTTCTGGGGCCATATTACAATATGTAATGACTAAAACTCACATTCTGTCCAAATGTGTGTCTGTTTCAAGGGAGTTCTTGTTTGGCCCTGGGAACAACTGAACACAGGGAAGAGGTTCATTCCTTTTTCCATATTACTTGTCTATTTGCAATCATGGTGTTCTCAGAAAGGATATGTCAGGTAGTCTCTCTTTTATTTTGCTTTCTATGAGAGTTAAGGACATTGTATTATTTAAATGATTTGTTGCCTTAAGGAACCCTGTGTGCTATTGCAGAGTAAGCTACTATAATTAAATGGCTGCAAGCCACAGGGAGGCACTTCTATCAGCATTTCCATTTCTGGGTCCACTTAATTTTAAGGCTTATTTGTTCAGCATATTAATGTAGGCTTATACAAAGTATAGAAGGTGGATATTTAAAAGAGGTGGTTTTCTGAGAGCCATACTTCAGTTTTTCTTGGATTTTATTTCATTAAATCATACATTTTAAGAAACAGTACTTCCTGAGAGGTCCTAATCACAATCTGTTTACAGAATTTCTGAGAAAATATTTGGCTATTGCAGACTTGCATTATTTATTGCTAGTATTCTTTTTCAGTGTTTTCCTTGGCTGCATATTTGGAATGTATCTTCTACAAGTTTAAATAAATGGAAGGAATGTTAAATTTATTAATAAAGCGTTTTTTTAATTATTTTAAAGTACTTCTGTTAATTTCAAATGTGCATCCTTCCTATGCTACTGGAATAAAATAGAAATAAGAAATTCCTTAAAATAAGACTTGTTATGTTAAGGAGCTATCTATTAGGCCATAGTTCTGATGGGTGTCTGCGCTGCAAGGTCTCATTTGTTGCCAGGATGTGCACTGTTACACTCCTTGTTCATTTCTGTGAAAACCCCGGCACAGGAGGTACATCTACATTTATGGAGGTAGTTAACTGGGGAGGGTTGATAAGTATTCAGGTATATTCTTGTGTTAAAGTACACATTGCGTCCTCTTATCCTGTATCCTTTTTGTGTACCAGATGCAAATGATCTGGATAAACCCTTCTAGATCAAAGGAGAGAGATCTGCACTGTTTTCCTCTCCTTCTGCCTCAACCCAGGGGTGCTTTTTTTACAGGAGGGTGAAGGAAAAGAGGAAGGATTTGGTCTGTACCTAAGTCCTGTGTGAAAAAGTGGCTCTTCATTAATGAGAGTAACAAATAAGGTTGAAGCTTATATTTTGTTTGTTTGCTGTTCTTTGTTTCAGTAATGGACATTATTACCACTATAATGTTTGAAATTCTTTGTCTTCTGTCAATTTATATTTTCTGTTCTCATTATGCAGATTAAATGAACTTGAATCCTGCAGTCAATCACACATTAGTGTGTAATAAGAATTTTTAGTTCGTTTTAAAATTTTGTGCTGCCAGTCCTATGTGCCATTTGTAATAGCATTCTGGAGGTCTGGTGAGATTTGTTTCCCCTCCTCCCCATGGAGTGCATTTGCATTTGTGCAATTAATAAAATCATCAAGGTCAAAAGACAACTTAGCTGCAGTCTTTAAGGTGGGAGAACCAAGTATCAGCAAAGCCTTTTGGTCAAGACTGTTGCAGTAACTTCAGACTCAAGGTTTAGTACTACTTTGCTTGGAGAAGTAATTACCGGAGGTTTTTTTCCTCTAAAAAAGGTTTAAGCTACTTCTGAAAAAAATTCCTTTCTTTTAACAAAAATGTTTACCCTGGTGTGGTGGCTGGATAGCCATTAAAATACTATGATATAGACTTGGAAATTACCTATCATAATCTTTACTGATCTGAGGCTCTAGGCAAAATATCCTTTATAAACTCTTCCAATATAATTTTGCAGTCTAATTAAATTGGCACTTGCAAGGAATTGTCAAGAACAACACAAGAAACTAAAAAAATTAATAATTTCAGAGTGTTGCTTTTATCATGCTGTGGTGAGTATACATTATCCACTACTTCTCTTAATGTATTAGTTGCATTCTGAATGTGCAAGGGTTGTGTGTGTTTATACATTTGTATTTTCATCTATATATGCACACACATGTATGTATTCATACTGTCTTAAAGTATTAAGGAAGGTGGGGTGGATTCCAGAGGGGAATCTTTTTAACTTCACTGACCACAAAACATAGGTTCTTCATTAACCTCTTCATGAGTGTCTGTTGTGAAGCCAGCAGTCTGACCTTAAGTGTAAATATTTTGCTGTATGCTAAAACATGGATTTACACTTGGGAATAAGTTCTTGAATGTGAAGAAATCCTGATTATGAATTCAAAAGGCCCCTTGGAAACTATATTTTGGTTTTGGTTTATCTTTTTTGCTGCTTAAGTTTTCCTGTCCGTGTTGCTGTCCCACATCAAAATGCAAACACCCATAAGTCTGGCATAAATGTGTTGTAAAGTCATGATAACTGCTTTCTGTGAAAACATCAGTTATGAATCCTGGAGTTCTTCCTCTGCTGAGGATTAAATATATGATATCTCAGTATTGCGTTATACCCAAATTTAAACAGCTCAGAGGCCAAGTACTGAGCAGATGCCTTAAGTTGGAAGAAATGATGCAGGACTAATAAGCATTTATTTTTATCAAAACAAGTGAGGTTTAGTGGGAAAAGAAATAAGATCCGCTGAATACTAATTCAGGCACTTTATCACTGAAATTGCTGCTGATTGGCCTTTAATGATTTTTCTCTTTGAAGCTGTTCATTCTCCCTGTTCCATGTGTCCTCTCTAATAAATATGGAGTATCTTATGGTAATTTAAGGTTGAACAATTTAGTGGAGTTTTCTGCATAACTGAATTAGACTTGCACATAGAGTATCCAAAATATGTGCATGAGGTACAAAATAGATACGTCTAGTTATAAAGAGACCGGGAACACTGGCTCTTGATTTGATCAAGAGCTGATGACCATCTAAACAGAAAAAAAAACCCTCATGCTTTGCAGATATTTTTCTGAGTTGCAATGTCAGATTCAAAAAGGAGTGAAAACATGAGAACTGGTGCAGAGTAAGCTCGCTTAGGCAAGATAAAGTATACACAGGTTACCTTTTAAAATCTAGAAATATGTGCAATACTCCAGTCAAAGCAGTTGGATCGATCAGAAAGCGAATATGTGTGTGATCAATAATTCCCGTTTCCATTTTATATACATTTGTAAGGGTAAGTCATCATCAAAACTGCCTGGTTGCTGGTGTGATCAACGTTACTTCTTTTGTGGTGTTTCTTCCTTATGTAGCTCCAGGTGCTCACTGCTGTCTGAAAAATTCACAAGTATAATAGCTAACAAGATATTTAAATAAAGTATTGGCTGCTGTTAGCAGTGTGGTTCTGAACCTCTTTGGTTCCAATGTGACATATGATAAAATCTGCCTTTTCACATGAAACAAAAAAAAACCCTAAAACTCAGGCTGCTTTATTGTTGTTTCACTTTTTTTTCTGGGAAGAACATCAATAACCTTTTTCTCTCTGTTCTTAGAAATCTTTGTCTTGCACTTTAAAAAAAAACAGATGCAACATCCTCAAAGTTTGAACCTGGTGTGTCTTAATGCCATGGGGACATCAGTAGATCTGTCACTCAGTCTGTGTTTCAGAGAAAATTTTGTGAGTCATTTGAACTGCTAGGTATTCCATTTGGAAGTGGGGAAAAAGTGGTCAGCTTATTTTTAATAGGTTCAGTGTGTCTGTGTACATGGCTAGTCTTTGAGGTCCATGAAGTTCAACATACTGGCAGGTCTCAGGTGACCAAACAAAGGGAGCTATGGGCTAGTTAGCACAACGTTTCACTGCGTGAACACAGAATCATAGAAAGGTTTGGGTTGGAAGAGACCCTGAAGATCACCTAGTTCCACCCCCCTGCCATGGGCAGGGACACCTTCCACCAGCCCAGATTGCTCAAAGCCCCGTCCAACCTGGCCTCGAACACTGCCAGGGAGGGGGCAGCCACAGCTGCTCTGGGCAACCTGTGCCCGAGCCTCACCACCCTCATGGTCAAGAATTTCTTCCTTATATTTAATCTGAATCTACACTCTTTCCGTTTAAAACCGTTACCCCTTGTCCTATCACTACACTGCCTCATAAAGAGTACCTCCTCATCTTTCCTGTAGGCCCCCTTGAAATACTGGAAAGTTTATATATATATATATATATATATATATATATATATATGTTTATGTAAAGTCCTGACTGACTGCACCCCCATCCCATGCCCCTATACCACTGGAGGAGGAGGAGGAGGTAGAAATACTGGGGAAAAAATCTGAGCCCGGGTAGAAGGGAAGGTGTGTGGAGGTGTTTTTAGGAGATGGTAACGCTTCTCACTCTTCCATTCTGTCTGTTAAATATTGTTATTAGTATTTTGAATTAAAGTG